GACCAGATAGCTTCACAGGTGAATTTTACCAAAATTCAAAGAACACCTAACTTCCAGTCAAGATGAAGGCATAGGTAAATGTGCCTCATCTCCTCACGCAACCACAGCAAAATTACAACTAAAATATAAAACAACCATCACTCAGAACCATCAGAAAATCAAGCTGTATGGAAGTCCAACAACTAGAGAATTAAAGACACCACATCAATCCAGAAGGGTAGAATGGATGGAAGGGAGGAGGCACTGAGGTGCAGGACTGGCTGGCTCCAGACCCACATGTGGTGGATATAAAACAGAGGGATATCTTGGGAGTGAGGGATCCCACCCCCACACCAGACTACCCAGCCCAGAGTTCCAGTGCCAGGAAGATAGGCCATGCTACCAAGACTTGGAGTCAAAGCAGCTCTACCTAATACATAGACAAAAACACAGGGAGGCTGCTAAATGAGGAGACAAAGGAAATGGCTCAAATGAAAGAACAGATCAAAACTCCAGAAAAAGAATTAACCAAAATGAACATAAACAATCTATCAGATGCAGGGTTCAAAACACTGGTTAAAAGGATACTCTAGGAACTCAGTGGGTAGTTCAACAGAACATGAAAAAGACAACAGGCAAAAATGAAGGATATACTAACTGAAATAAAGAACAATTTACAGGGAATCAACAGCAGAATGGAGGAAGCCAAGAATCAAATCAATCATTTGGAACATAAGGAAGAAAAGACATCCAATCAGTACAACAAGGAAAAAAAAATTCAAAAAATTGAGGATGCTGTGAGGAGCCCCTGGGACAACTTCAAATGTTCCAATGTTCACATCATAGGGGTGTCAGAGGGAGGACATAAAGAGCAAGAAATTGGAAACCTTTTTGAAAAAATAATAAAAGAATACTTCCCTATTTGGTGAAGGAAATAGACATATAATTCCAGGAAGCACAGAGAGTCTCAAACAAGATGAACACAAGGAGAACCACACCAAGACACAGCATAATTAAAATGCCAAAGGTTAAAGATAAAGAGCAAATCTTAAAAGCAGCAAGAGAAAAGCAGATAAATACCTACAAAAGAGTTACCATAAGACTGTCAGATGATTTCTTAAAAGAAAATTTACAGGCTAGAAGGGATTGGCAAGAAGTATTTGAAGTGATGAAAGCAAGGACCTACAACTGAAATTACTCTACCTGCAAAGCTATCATTTAGAATGGAAGGGCAGATAAAGTGCTTCCCAGACAAGTTAAAGCTATAGGAGTTCATCTTCACCAAACCATTATTATATGAAATGTTAAAGGGACTTATTTAAGAAAAAGAAGTAGATCAAAACTATGAACATTAAAAAGGCAATAATACATAACTATCAACAACTGAATCTATACAACAAACTACGAAACAAGCAGGACAGAAAAAGAATCATAGGTATCGATAACATTGGGATGGTGAACAGTGGGGCGAGGGCCTGGCAGAATGGGGGAAAAGATGAAAGGATTAAGAAGGACAAATTGGTAGTTACAGAATAGGTAGGAAGATGTTAAGAACAAGTATATGAAATGGAATTGCCAAGGAACTTTATTCATGGCCCATGGACCTGAACAAAGGAAGTGGGATCACTGGATGGATTGGTACATGTTGGGTAGAGGAGGGAAAAGGGGGAAAAATTGGGAGAACTGTAATAGCATAATCATTTAAAAAGTAAAAATAAAAAGACAACTTTTTATATGCTAAAAAAAAGAGCTAATACCTATCTTCCTCAAACTACTTCAAAAAACTCAAGAGGCGGGAAGACTTACAAGCTCTTTTTACAAGGTCAGCATTATCCTAATTTCAAAACAAGATAAATACACCACAAAGAAAGAAAAATATAGGCCAATATCCCTGATGAACATAGATGCTAAAATCTTCAAGAAAATACTAGCAAAGTGAATCCAGCAATACATTAAAAAGATCATACAACATGACCAGTGAGATTTATTTGGGGGATGTAAGGTTGGTACAATTTCCATAAATTAATAAATGTAATATATCATATAAGCAAAATAAAGGGTAAAAATTACATGCTCATAGCAATAGCTGCAAAAAAAAGAAAATATCATTTGATTATATCCAGCACCCATAAATGATAAAAACGCTGAGCAAAGTGGAATACAGGGATTTTACCTCAATATAAAAAAGACCATATATGAAAAATCTACAGTCAACATCATACTCATGGGCAGAAACTAAAAGCATTTTCTTTAAGATCAGGAACAAGACAGGCATGTCCGCTTTCTCCACTCCTATTAACATAGTACTGGATGGCCTAACGACAGTGATCAGAAAAAATGATGAAATAAAAGCCTTCCAAATTGGAAAGGAGGAAAGTAAAACTGTCATTATTTGCAGATGACATGATATTGTACACAGAAAAATCCTAAAGACTCCACCAAAAAACTACTAGATTTAATAAATGATTTCTGCAAAGTAGCAGGATACAAAACTGGCATCCAGGAATTGGTAGGACTTTTGTACAACAACAATGTCTTATCAGAAAGAGAAACTAAGAAAACATCTCGTTTATCATTGCAACAACAATAAAAAAATAATGTACCTAGAAATGAACTTAACCGAGGAGTGAAAAACCTATACTCAGAAAACCATAGGACATTGACTTCTGGCCGAGATGGAGGTGTGAGTAGACACACTTTACCTCCTCCCACAACTAAAAGGACAACAACAAATTTAAAAACACAAAGTAACCAGAACTTCCAGAAAATTGAACTGTATGGAAGTCCAACAACCAAGGAGCTAAAGATGAAACATTCATCCAGACCAGTAGGAGGGGCAGACACAGGCAGCTGGATTGGAGAGGATACACAGCAAGGCAGCAGCTGGTGGACCAGACAGGAGAGTCAGTGGCTGGTGGTCCAGGCAGTCTCACATTTGTGTGCAGATAAACCAGGAGGAACAGCTGTGGAGCGACACAGACTGTGTAATCCATGGTTCCAGTGTGGGAAAATAAAGCCTCAAAACCTGTATAAAGAACTGTGGAGGATGCAGCAGCAGGAGAAACTCCCAGACTCACAGGAGAGCTCATTGGAGAGACCCACAGGGTCCTACACATATGCAAACCCAGCCACTTGAGAATCACCACTAGAAGGGCCCAATTTACTTGTGGGTAACAGGGGAAGTGACTGAAAGCTGGTAAGAGCCCAGCAAGCATCATTGTTCCCTCTTGGACCCTTCCCCCACTACAGTGTCACAATGTAGTGGCCTGGGTTGCCCTGCCCTCGTGGATACCTATGGCTCTGCCTCTTAACAGGCGCACTGAGACAAAGAAATACGGCCCAAATGAAAGAACAGATCAAAGCTCCAAAAATAGAACTAAGCAATGAACAGATAGCCAATCTGTTTGATGCACAGTTCAAAACACTGGTAATATGGATGCTCACAGAAATAGTTGAGTATGGTCGCGTTATGTAGGAAAAAGTGAAGGTTATACAAAGTAGAATAAAGAAAAACATACAGGTGACCAACAGTGGAGGGAAGGAAAATGGGGTTCAAATCAATGATTTGGGGCAGCAGGAAGAGATAAACATTCAAACAGACCAGAATAAAGAAACAAGAATTCAAAAAAAAAAAAAAAATGAGGAGATGCTTAGGAACCTCCGGGACAACTTTAAATGTACCAACATCTGAATCATAGGGGTGCCAGAAGCAGAAGTGGAAGAGCAAGAAATTAAAAACTTATTCGAACAAATAATGAAGGAGAACTTCCCCAACCTGGCCAAGGAAATAGACTTCCAGGAGATCCAGGAAGCTCAGAGAGTCCCAGAGAAGTTGGACCCAAGGAAGCACACACCAAAGCATATCATAATAAAGTTACCCAAGATTAAACATGAAGAGAGAATCTTAAATGCAGCAAGAGAAAAGGAGACAGCAACCTACAAAGGAGTTCCAATAAAACTCTCAGCTGATTTCTCAAAAAAAACCTTGCAGGCAAGGAGGGGCTGGAAAGAAGTATTCAAAGTCATGAAAGGCAAGGACCTACATCCAAGATCACTCTGTCCAGCAAAGCTCTCATTTAGAATGGAAGGGCAGATAAAGTGCTTCCCAGATAAGGTCAAGTTAAAGGAGTTTGTCATCTCCAAGCCCTTATTATATGAAATGTTAAAGGGAAAATAGATGCAACAGACTTTAAGCTCCTGCACACAAGCCCAGAGTTCGATCTTTTCCTTCAATAACCAATCGCTAGGATTTTTTTTTTAAAACCACCAGTTACATATCGAATGCTCATATATATAGATTACTAAACCAAAAACTACAACCTTTAGACAAAAGTTTTTATTTTATTACCCATTCTGTAGGCGGTGATTCATTAACCTGTTACTAAATTACTAAAGGGTAATATATGGTTTTCAGCAATTCTAATAGGTTGAGTGGAAAAGTCCATCCAAATATACTATCCTTCCTTGTGGAAACAATCCCCTTTAATACGACCAGTTATTTCCTGGGGCTTGATTATCGTCCCTGAAAGGACAAAATTTCCTCTGTCCTCCTGAAATCGTGCTTAGCTCAACCTAAAATGTGATGTACCACTATTTCCCAGTCGGGAGCGGAACAGTTGGTGTTTCCCCGGATTCATTTAAGACACGAAACTGTATTTGCATCACAACTTGTGATGGGCAACCATCAAGTTTCAAACAAGCATCTGGACTGCGGACACTGTCAATTATCCTCGTAATTTTAATAGGAATTTATCAAATTTAGGAAGACAAGGGGCAACTAACCCTCCGAACCCAATCAGGACATCAGGAGATCCGGACAGAGTGCATGAAAGCCGATTTTGGCTGCGCAATTCGTGGTGGCTGCGCAAACCAAAACCAGGGACCCCCGGACTTGGTCCCTCCCAGGTTTCCTAGCCAGCCAGCAGTCTCTCCACACTAGAGCCTGAGCCAATGGCAAAGGACCTAACCAAGCCCAGCCCAGCGGAAGGAACGGTTTCAGAGTTGTTTATCTTCGATAAAGGAGCCCTTCCTTGCTCTTGCTTTTATTCTTTCTAGCGTTAGCTGTGACGAACAACCCTCCCACACCCAAAACAATTTAGAGTGATTGATAAACATTCCAAATCCTCGCAGCAACAAAAAACGATGATATTCATTCTGCATTGCCTCTTGCTTCTGCCCTTTCTGATCTTCTGCACCTTGGAGTCTCTCCTAAAGCTTTTTATTCCTAAGAAGAGAAAGTCAGTGACCGGAGAAATCGTCCTGATTACTGGAGCTGGACATGGAATCGGGAGACTGACTGCCTATGAATTTGCCAAACTTAAAAGTAAAGTGGTTCTGTGGGATATAAATAAGGTAATAGTGCTTTACTGTTTTAATTTCTTGTACCTTTAATCTGCGTATGCATTTTGCAGGTAACAACCCCTTACAGAATAGCAGTAAAGTACGTAGAAAAAAATTACTGTTGCCATATTATAGATGGGGGGAAAACATGGATTAATTAATGTGTTTATGATCACGTAATAAATGGATGTAGTGAAGATTCCCAGTTGCTGCCTATTTGACATTGTAAATTTATCCTCCCTATTACCCTTGAAAATAATTTATAATATATTCCTGAACTTGATTTCACTGATCCCTCAATCTTAATTATATGGAAAAAGTAACAGTTTTAGCTAGTATATTAAGAACAAAAGGTTTGTATCTACTAAGAAAAAAATCCTACTTGCAGTTACTGAGGTTAAGTGGGTTTAAGATACCCAACAGAAAGCAACAATTACTATGCCATAGTAATTTCCAAGAGTAATTTTTAAAAATCACAAAATTGTTTATTGTTAGTTAAAAACAATAAAAAAAATCTTCAAAGTTATTTTTACCAGAATAGGTGTAGGCTTAAGGAAGACAGGAGGACTTAGAATCTTACCTTTTATTTGGCCAGTGTGTGATGTACAAAAAGTTTCTGGGAAGCACCTGCTGGCTTGGAACGCTGTGCATTACGTACTAGTCATCATCCAATGATGTAAACAGGAAATCATGGGATGTGAAGTTAGATCAGCACCAACTTAGTGAGTGAGTGACTGAGAGAAAAATCAACAAACTTTATGGCTTAGCACCAATCTGCTAGTGCTTCCCCGGAGTACCTTTCTCCTACCTGTCCGTTTACTTATACTCTGCTTGGCGTGCCCTGCCCCTTCCTTTGCATGGCTGTTCTACTCACCTTTAAGCTTCAACTCAGGTAACTCCTCTTCAGGAATTGCACTGCATGCCCCTTCTCTGTGTTCCCATAACTCTAAGTAGTTCTAGTATTATACTTACCACACATGTCAGTTTGAACCATACGAAATTGCCAATATTCAACCCTTTATTTTAAAGCAATAAAAATTTCATATGATCCTACCTAAATATTATTTTATGTTTCTTTCTACTGCATAGAAAGTAATAGAATGTGTGAGCTCGATGAAGTGAGAACTCCGAGCATTCATATTTGTGTCCGCAAGGTTCTCTAAGCACCTTGAATATGACCTACACATTAAAATGTTGGAGGAATGAATTGTAGTTAATTCCTTATTAATTTATTTTGCAGCCAGAAAATTGATGTCTGTGGTCTGTGAGTAGTTTTCAGTGACAGAGAAAAAAAGCTTAATGTTATTTTTTTAAAGCCTGATAGGGCGTGTGCGCGCCCACACACAAACACATGCATATAATTCACAATGTAAAATTCATAATAAAAATAGTATTTTTAAATTTTTATCTTTTTCAAATCTTGCTTTAAATTGAATTCCAACCAAAAGAAGCTCTTCAAAGTACTGAGAGCAAAGTGTATCTATAACCCTGTCAAAAATATGGATCGGGTAAATTCTTGCCCAATCCTAGTTCAAAGAATCTGACTGCCCTCAATTATTTTCAGCTGTTGATATATATGCTCACATCGTTTATTGTTCTTCTCCTTGCCCTTTTTGGTGCTTTTTCTAGCATGGAATCGAGGAAACAGCTGATGAATGCAGGAGACTGGGTGCAAAGGTTCACGCCTTTGTGGTAGACTGCAGTAACAGAGAAGATATTTACAGCTCGGCGAAGAAGGTGAAATTTTTCATTTGGTTAGAAAATCCTATTTTGTCAGAGCTGGGAGGGATTTTGGAGATGACCCAGTCATGATGCAGACAAACTAACAGAAGTTTTGTGATTTGCTCAAGGCTGAACAGCTAGCTAGTGGCAAACCCAGAACTAAAACCCAGAACTGAGGTTCCCAGGCTTTAGTGTGTTCTGGAATCTTACAGCGGGCTTGTTTAAAAATAGATACCCTGAAGGTTTTCTTTCAGCAGATCGAGGTCTGGGCACAGGAGCTTGCATGTTTAGTGCTGTAGGCACACACACCGCACCCATCTGATTCTGATGCATGTAAAATGTTGGATGACACTACAGAATCACTGACAGGGTCTTCTGAAGTCCAAAGAACTCAGGAAGATAGAAAAAACTGAACTGTTTATCAGGCTGTGATCATAAATATATCTGTTTCTATACTGCATTATTTGCCTCATCTACATACAACTGAGATGTGATATATATGTAATGGCGTTTCCTCTGAGCACATTCATAATTGTATTTGCTATCTAAATGTGGTAACAGTAGGAAGGTCAGTAGAATTACCCAGGCAAATTTGTGAAAATACACCTTTCTGGACCTCACCCCTGGATACTCTGATTGAGTAGAGTATAAAGATCCTGATTCAGCCAAGACATCAAGTCAAACCTCTTGATTTTTAGAGAATTTTAAATTTGGGGGTATTTTTAAATTCTTTTTTAAATTACAATCTTTTATTTCAAACTGATGCTGTTCTTGTTGGTTAGGCCTTAGCTAAGTCAAAAGAATAGGTAGAAATTACCCAGGCCAGTGGTGCGAAATGGCTTCCTGGGATGAGGTGCAGTAAGATCAAGGCCTTTGGGTAAGAAACATCTGCATTTCACAATAACTCTTTTACTTAAATTAAGGATGATTTCCCTTTATAGAGATGAGAGCTCTTTCAGTTAATACTCGCTATAACAACTTGGGCAAGTTACCTAACTTCTCTGTGCCTCACGTTCCTCAATTATAAAATGGGGATCACAGCGGTACATACCTCACAGAGTTGTTATGAGGATTGAGTGAATTAATGATGTAAAGTACTGTTCTTAGAACAGTACCTGGTGCACAGTTGTCACTTTGTACGAATTAGTCATTAGTATTATAATAGAATCACCAATATTATCTATATAATTTTATTAGCCATTATTTAGAGGATTTGGTAGTGTTGGTTACCTAAATGGGAAATATTCATTTCCAGACTCATTTGGGAATAGGCTTTTCTGGAAAAGAGAACTTCATTATTTGAAACAATTCCATGTATTTTAAACATAGTTTTTTTTACTGAAATTGTTCTAAGGTGAACTAACTGTATGCGTAAATGGAGTTTATACAATTACATATGATTATCAGGTATTTTGAAGTAGCTATTTTGATGTGGCTATTTTGGTATCAGAACAATTTTATGCCCCATAAACAATAAAACTCTCAGCTTGCTTTTATTATTAAGAAATATACAATTTGACATTCTCACTCTGGGTGGACACAGTAGGTGACAATAGAGAGCTTGAGGATGAAGGAAGGGCCAAGAGGGTCTGGGCAAATATTTTGGCAACATAAAACAGTAATTTATATTTTGAGTCATGTTAATTTGGAGGTATTCCAGCAACTTCATCAATTTAACCATATAAAATGCCTCTCTTTTCTCGTAACCAAGGGGCATTATTCTGAACAACCGTTTTCCTACCATGCTAGAGATGTAGATACAGGTACAAATTGTGTACCAAGGACCAAATAACTTAGCTTGTCTCTTTAACAATTTAAATACAGCCCGATGAAATTCATCTGGCCGAGGAGCCTTCACAGCGGCACGCGGAGGCCTATGCGCCTCCTCCTCCTAACTTCCTTTCTGTATGAGGTTTAAGGCTTGCCTTGGTCCCTGAGGTCAGAAAATCTGGAAGAGTCCCAACTCCACATGACCTTGGCAAGAAAGTTAGCCATTCTGCGTTTTATATTTCTCATTAAAATGAGCACACCAAGAGTCGCTACCGCACAGAATTGGTTGTGAGAGCTAAATGAGATACTGAAATTCAGTAAAATGCATAGCACTTTCATGAGTGAAAGCCTTGAATAGGCTCATTGCCACCTCCCCATCAGTCCCCCAACACACTGCAGCACTGTCTAGACGAGGACAACTCTATTAATAGAGGCTAGCTTGTATTTGGAACAAATGTATAACAAAATGCAGTGTAACTCTGGGGTCCATCCATCAAGAAGCTGAGCTACTCAGAGAACAATAAAAATGTGGAGAGCAATAAAATGGAGATAAAAATAAACACAAAAATAAATAGAAGATGTAGCCAGTTTAATGGTATAATCATTGTACCATTATGATTATAATGGTATAACAGTAATCATATTACTATTAAGATTATAGTTTTACATAGTTCCTCGTAACAGTCTCTGCATTTGCCAATTAACTTTTATTTGCTTACTTTTTAAAGTAGTATTTAGAAAATAGTCCTGGCTGGATTGTCACTGGTTATGTGTTTGTTAGCCAAACGCCTCTTGAGCTATAATCAATAGGACAAAGTCAAGAGACTAAATTGCAAAATAACATTTTTACCTAGCAAACTTTCCAGCAGAACTATTTTGAAATTAAATACCTAAAGTTAAAAGGTTCTTTTTTTCATGTTGGCACACAGATTTACCACTACTTTTTTCTTCCACAGCAAATAAAAAAATGCATCCTTCTTTAATAGCCATTGCAAGCCTACCCTCATACTTCTTAATGATGCAGATATTTTTCTTATTTTGTTTTTCAAGGTGAAGGCAGAAATTGGGGATGTTAGTATTCTAGTAAATAATGCTGGTGTGGTCTACCCAGCAGATTTGTTTGCTACACAAGACCCTCAAATTGAAAAGACTTTTCAAGTTAATGTGCTTGCACATTTCTGGGTAAGTACGACTTCCTTTACAAAAACATTCTCTCTTTTAAGACTCGAAGATTAAGTTTAAAGTGATGCTTTCGGTAGACGTAAAGACATATCAGCTCTATACTAAAGTTTTCTCCAGGTACCAGGGATAACATACAAAAAAAATCATTTTTCATGCTACAGTCAAATCTCATCAGTTGTTCTTCCTCCCACTTTAAAAATATCAATAATAATAAATTAATAAATAATAAACTTAAGGTGTTACATATGCTTTCATTCTAAGCTAGATTCTCGTATCTCTGTTTAGAGATGGAGGAGGGATTAGAGATCATCTGGGTCATCTGTGATTCTATAAAAGGGGAACCGAGTTTGCTTTCATGAGACCCAAGCCTCCTGTTACATCCTGGTTTCAAATGCAAACTTTATTATGAAACTCACCATTTAAGGTCTTAAATACTCTCTCTCTCTCTCTCTCTTTCTCTTTCTCTCTCTTTCTCTCTCTCTTCCTGAGGAGCCTAAATATTGCCCGCATAGCCAGTTCCTAAAAGAATCCCTGAAAGTTTTCTTGGGTGTGAGTTTGAGATGAGTAATCTCAAAAGAATATTGGAGTTAGTTCATGAAAATGCAATATTATGCTATGTTTGCATTCCTAAGTGATTCACATCTGTCTTTGTATTTTTATGACTTACGAGTTTTCCCATCTTTCTGCCTCTGTTGAAATGTAGGGTATTGTCTTATTTGTTTCTGGATCCCTATCACATAGTACATGCGCAATAAATATTTATTGTGTGACTCATTCAGTAACTACTGGAAGATTACTCTTCACTTTAATATTTTGATGACATAACCAAACTCTTTCATAACAATTTCACATTAAGATAGAAGACATCATTGACAAAAGGTAGAGAATCAGTGGACCTAAGTTATTCACAATTTAAATGAGATGGATTCTTAAAGTTTTCAGTATTTGCTGTTTACCTTAATTTTTCTAATCTGGGCGCCCTATCCAGTTGCCTTATGTTGCCCAATTTGGCAGTCAATCTAGGTCTTTTATTTATGCCAGGAACAGTGTTACAAAATGTAATATTATTTCAAAATATTCCCAATGGGTTTCTGTGAACCAGAAATAAAAAATTTTTTTCTGTCTTATAAAAACTATTTCTAGACTACAAAGGCATTTCTTCCAGCAATGATGAAGAATAATCATGGCCATATTGTCACCGTGGCTTCAGCAGCTGGGCATACTACAGTCTCATTTTTAATGGCTTATTGGTAAGTGAACATGTGTTCTTTTTTTCATTGGTTCCTATGCTTAGCTTTGTTGCACAACGTCCCTTCTGCAACATTATTAACTGTTAATACCCTCCTATGTTGACTGTTTTAGAGGTGGCTGCAGGGAAAATATACAATCAGAATCCAACTGCTTCAAGCATTTCTTATCTCTTTTTAGCAACAAGGAATTACAAAACAAGAGCAATACCATGAACACAAGTTAATGTTAATAACTTTAAATAAAGTAATGTGGAAATAAAACTCTAAAAACAGAGAGAGAGTACAATCTGGGATTCTAAACATTAATAGCATTCAAACAATGGAATTGCTGTGACAATAATTATAATTATTATTTAAAAACCCACACTATTTTAATAATTGAAGAACTTACTGTAGCAAGTGGGGTACAGTAATGGTGTGCTCCCCTGTATACTGTAAAGAATTGATTGGTGAGGCCAGTGTAGCCACAGTGATCCTACTGGTCACCTACATCCTAATAATTCTTGGCCATTTCTGTATATTAGCAAATAATAACTCTTTAAATTATGAGTTATGATTATGCAAATAAACATGCATAAAAATGATGCTCAAATTTGTTTTTTAACATTGTTCTCTTGAAATTAATTATATATATCCTTCTAGAAACAAAGTAGATATGGTTGTATGCATAGATATAGATAATGTGTGTAAATACTGGGTTGGCCAAAAAGTCAGTAAAATAAAAGACACATTTTTCATTTTCACCAATAATTTTATTGGTTTGGATATTTTGACTGTGTTGGCTATCTCCCAGGTAGTAGAACATTGATTGTTCTCAGTTAATGTCTTGATTTGATTGCTATCAACCTCAACTGGTCTACCCAACCGTGGAGCATCGTCCAGCGAGAAATCTCCAGCAGGGAACTTTGCAAACCACTTTAGACATGTTTGATCAGTCACAGCACCTTCTGCATACACTGCACAAATCTTTTTTTGTGCTTTTACCTTTTCTGAAATAATAAACATGATATGCCGAAAATGTTGCATATTTTCTTCCATCTTCAATATTAAAGTTGCTACACAAAAATTCACAAGTTTGATAAGTTTTTAATGTATACTGATATGACAGCTGCCACAATACAATCTAACAAAATTTTTTTGAATGAAGTTCCAGAAAATTAAGCACTACTAGAGCCATCGTACAGAAAACACCAAACGAATTTTTTGGCCAGCCCAATATATAAATATAGACATGGGCAGGTAACTATGTATATATGTGTGTGTATATATATATATATATAAAAACAAATATATATGTCTTGCATTTAAGAAGTTTGCAAGGATATATACTAAAACATACCTAGAGTGTGGTTATTCTTAGGTAATAGCAATAAAAATGATTTTTATTTTGTTCTTTTTTTTTACATATGTGTTCTTAATTTCTGAACATATATTTGTTTTATAACAGTTTTAAAAATAAATATAGATGTGGATTGAGTTTTTATAAAAGAATGAAGTAACTGCTGAAGCAGTCACAGAACAGACTTACATTGTCCAGATTGTATCCTGACTCTTTCAGAGCCACTTTAAGTTAGGCAATTAGTGTCCAGCCATCAGGGGCAAATACAATTTAACATTTATTTACTTCCTTGATGAAAGTGTCAGGTGCTGTTGCTAGGCTCCTATATGACATCCTACTGCCCTGACAAATTCTGTCATAGTCCCCAGGTAAGCAAAGAGGATCAGAGAATTAAACAGGCCTGTCAACCCTGCTGTGCTTCCTCCTTCCCTTGCTGTAGTAAATACTGTGGTTCATTTTATTCTGATTTGATTCTACCCCACTGAGGTTTACAGTGAAAATCAAGAGAGAACGTGCTTTGTGTGAGAAACAAATTTATTTTGGTGACAAGTGATGTACAGGTTCTCATCGAGTATTGTTAAAGCAGGAGCTTTCACATGGCATCTACTGCCCCCACTGACTAGTACAGTGAGTCATCATTGTTCATGCGTGCACATTCCAGTCCACGCTCCTTGGCTGCCAGGTTATCTTTATATGGCACAAACACTTCTCCTTATATTAACAATGGCTGGACTTTCTCCGGACAGACCTCAGAATATATGCAACATCATTTTCAATTCCTGCATGGTATGCCACTGTATATATATGCCACTGTTTATTTAATTTACCCACTATTGTTGGGTAATCTGTTTGTATGTAGTCTTTTAGTTGCAAGGAACACAAAACTTAAACTGACCTAGGCCAAAAGAGGAATTTTTTTGCCTCTGTAATTAAAGTCTCAGGCAGACTCTTTTTCTCTGTCGGAAAAGATAGCTACCAGCAGTTCCAGAGTAACATCCATTCAATTCCAAGTCCAGCAGGTTGGGTAAAGCCATGACTTCCCAGTAATAACTTCAAATGTTCTACCTTTAGAGTTCATTCTAACTAGACCAGCTTGGATTCAGCCGCTGAATGGGTAGGAGCAGAAGGAGTGTTAGCCAGCAAAATTGAGCGATGTTGCCAGAATAAGGGAATATGAATGCCAATGAGCAAAAACAACAGCTGCCAACTATAGACATTTAAAATTGTTTCCACAAACAACAACAACATAAGAAATAAATTCATTGAGGCAGACAACTCATTGGGTTAACAGAGGAGGAGTGGGTGGAGGGAGGGTTTATGATGACACATAGAAACTAGATTTTTGGTGATAAGCACGAGGTAGTCAATACAGATGTTGAATTATAATGTTGCACACCTGAACTTATATAATACATTATAAACCAATGTTACCTCAATTAATTAAGTTAGTTACTGAAATGTTGTTTCTGTTTACCTTCATGAACTATGTACCCCAGGACTATCCTTGAATAAATTTGTAGAAACATGATTGATGATTTCCTTAGGATAAATACTTAAAAGGGAAATTACTAGATCTAAGAGCACAGAGTATTTTAATGAATTTGATACTTTTTGCTAAATTGCCTTCCGAAAAGGCTGCCAATTAACCTGTTCTTTGGAAAGTAGAAAGCTGTGGAAAAGTTCTCTTTCAGTTTATCTTTTTAAGCTTAGACATATATTGAGGGCTTAAAAAAGAAAAGATCGCTCATTCAGTTATATAAAATGAAAAATATTCTGTACATTGAAAAACAACTTAAACAAATAAAAATGTCCTCATATCCTTACCATTTACTGCTAGGCAAAAATTCTGTTTTGTTTTACTTTGTAATTTATATTAATTATTCCTGAAGTAAAATACTTTAATATGTATATTTCTATTGCTATTATTTTGTGCATTTTCTGCTAATGTCCTTTAGCCATTTATCTATTAGAGTATTGTCTTATTCATTTATAAAAGTTGCCCTATAGTAACCCTTATCCTTGTCTTTTATGTTGCAAATACTTTACCAGTTTATTTGCCTCTTGGTTGGGAGCCAATAGGTTTAGAGTATATCATATAGAGGCCTGGTTTATTGTCTAGATTTAAAGTCTGATTCTGCCACTCTGTTTGTGGCTTTGGGGAACTTCTATAACCACCCCCCAGGCCTCAGTTTCCTTTTTGATAAATGGGGATCATCGTAGTATCTGTTTCATGGAATTGTGAGGGTTAAATGAAATAATGCATCTGAATAACTGAGGACAGTGTCTAGCATGTAGTAATCAACCTTAGGTATGATTATTATCATTTGTTTTACTTTTCAAGGTACAAAAGATTTACATTTTATATAATTCAATCTAGCAATATTTCTTTTTAAGCCTTCATTATATGTCAGGAGTGTGAGCGGCTGAAAGAGAACTTTTTTTCCCACAGCTTTGTATTTCCCAAAGCACAGGTCGATTGGCAAGAATTTACAGCTACTTTGTATATAATTGCTAATCCATACAGATTTATAGAAGAACAGTCTATCTGGTAATGCCACTGAATTGTACACTTTCAAATTTCAAATTTTGTTATATGTATTTTTACGTAATTTTTTTTTATTAATAAGGTAATACTGTTTCTCAGTAAAGTTGCTTTTTAGAACACCTAACTAACTGGTCCCAGATCCATGATATTGTCCTGGTGGGGGGTTCTACCCATATCCCCAAGATTCAGAAACTCCTGCAGGATTTCTTCAATGGAAAAGAACCGAATAAGAGCATCAACCCTGATGAGGCTGTTGCTTATGGTGCAGCTGTCCAGGCAGCCATCCTTTCTGGGGACAAATCTGAAAATGTTCAAGATCTGCTGCTGTTGGATGTCACTCCTCTTTTCCTTGGCATCGAGACTGCTGGTGGAGTCATGACCGTCCTCATTAAATGCAATACTACCATTCCTACCAAGCAGACACAGACCTTCACCACCTACTCGGACAGCCAGCCTGGTGTGCTCATTCAGGTTTATGAAGGGGAGCGCGCCATGACCAAGGATAACAATCTGCTCGGCAAGTTTGAACTCACAGGCATACCTCCTGCACCTCGCGGTGTCCCTCAGATTGAAGTCACGTTCGACATTGATGCCAATGGCATTCTTAATGTCTCTGCTGTGGATAAGAGCACAGGAAAGGAGAACAAGATCACCATCACTAATGACAAGGGCCATCTGAGCAAGGAAGACATTGAGTGCATGGTCCAGGAAGCTGAGAAGTACAAAGCTGAAGATGAGAAGCAGCGGGACAAGGTGTCTTCCAAGAACTCACTTGAATCCTATGCATTCAACATGAAAGCAACTGTTGAAGATGAAAAACTTCAAGGCAAGATCAGTGATGAGGACAAACAGAAGATACTTGACAAATGCAATGAAATCATCAACTGGCTTGATAAGAATCAGACTGCAGAAAAGGAAGAATTTGAACATCAGCAGAAAGAGCTGGAGAAAGTCTGCAACCCAATCATCACGAAGCTGTACCAGAGTGCAGGGGGCATGCCGGGAGGAATGCCTGGGGGCTTCCCCGGTGGCAGAGCCCCTCCCTCCGGGGGTGCCTCTTCTGGGCCCACCATTGAAGAAGTTGATTAAGCCAGCCTGTTGAATAGATTCAGCATTGTTCCACACAGAATATTGAAGGACCCAAATTTGTGGCAAATTCCATGGCAGTTTTAAAAGTTGAGCTGCTGTATAATAAAACAGCATTCTTCATACTTGAACATGGACTATGTGCACAGGGAAATAATGCACTTTATAAGCACTGTATTGTAAAGTGGAAAATGCGATGTCTTAAATAAAACTATTTAAAATTCGCAAAAAAACAAAAAAAAACTGGAAGTGTAATGTTCACTTAAAATATGATTAATTTCCATTCTCTTTCCAAATGAGGTAAGTAGAACAATAAGAATGGCTTGGCATTTTAATTCATTCATCTGACAAATATTTATTGAGTATCTAATACAGACCAGGTATTGTGTCAGGCCCTGGGTGTTCACTGGAGACCAAAACAGTCATGGAGGTTATGGCAAAGGTATGAGGGGCAGATGTTCAAAAATTTCATCCTGATGAATATTAAATTACAAATCTAAAATGTGCTGTCATGGAAAACTGAAGATTACTATATACGGGGGAAATAATTTAGACTAGAGGTCAGGAAAAGCCTCTTTGTGGAAGACACATTGAGACTTAAAGGAAGAATAGATATCATGCAGGAGAATTTTCCAGTGAATTCCACGAACATATTAAAATAAATAATGAGCAGCCTACAGTGTCAGTAAGTTTTATGGAAAGAGCAACAACAAAACAAATGCTCCACTAACTTTTTCTAACAAGACATTTAAACTTACTCAGTTGTCACTCTAAAAAAAGATGCTGGGATGTGGTGAATGTTCAGTGTTAGTGCTTCTTAAACTTTAACATGCCTATGAACTTACCTGAGGATCTTCTAGCGTGCAGATTCCGATTCAGTAGGCCTAGACTGAGTGTTGAGATTCAGGTGTTGCCTGTGCCTCTCGGCTGAGGACCACACTTAAATGAGGAAAACAGCCATCCAAATTAAATAGGTGTAGCAGCTTCCATGAATTATTTTGTGACTGTTCTCTGTTTATTTTCAGTTCAAGCAAGTTTGCGGCTGTTGGATTTCATAGAGCTTTGACTGATGAACTGGCTGACTTAAAAATTACTGGAGTCAAAACATCATGTCTCTGCCCTAATTTCATAAATACTGGTTTCATCAAAAACCCAAGTACCGCGTAAGTTGAGACAGAAATGGAGATAAAATGGTTGATGATTGCATGAATATGGGCCATTCTGTGGCTTGCTTTAAGTATTTTAATCCTTAAAACACCTGCTATGCAATGCCCTTAGTTCATCTCAGTTTCAGCTTCTGTAGATTGTGGGAAAACAGGTGGAGAGACAGAGAGGGAGAGAATGTATATAAATGTAAATATGAATGAGACAGGTGAACTTGCTAATCCTCCCTTTTTCTCTTCCCCTAAGCAGTGGTTTTTAAACTTAAGTATACATACATTCTACCAGCAGTGCTTAGGAACCATGTAGGGGACCCACCCCGAGAGATGTTGATTTGTATTGGGTTTGGTTGGGCTAGGGTGCTTAGTAGTTGGGATGGGGACTTGGAACTATGTATGTGTATGTTTAACAAGCATCATAGATAATTCTGAGAGACAGAAATCAGGGCCACAATGTGATCAGGACCACTTTCCATTGATAATCCTGAGATTATCTTCCAAACTGAGTACCAGATCATGGTCTTTCCTTGGTTAGAACAGAAAATTGTAAAGATTTGCTCTGAGGTTAATTTTAACGTTTCCTCTCTTGGGAATAGCTTTCATGTCTTTGTAAACATAGTGTATACTTTTTTAAAAACTCCCAACACAGAGAAAAATATAAATAAGAAAGTTTACTTTTAAAATTTCTTAAAACCCTCTGTCCAGTGGAAACTGCTCTTAATATTTTGATGAACATCCTTCTAGACATCTCCCTATGTACAGATTAAATATCTAAGTTTTATATAACTGACATATTATTACACATAGGGTTCTGGAAACAATAAGTAGACTGCTCACTTTCCTCAGCATTATGTTTATAGACAATAAGGTATTAAAAAGTTCAAAGTTGCTAAGAAACTACAATTTAATTGTTCCCACCACAAAAAAAGAAATGATAATTTTACGACGTGATAGAGGTGTTAGCTCACACTATGATGGTAATCATATTGCAATATGTAAATGTATCAAATCAACACCTTGTACAGCTTAAATTTACCCAGTGTGATATGTCAATTATGTTTCAATAAAAATTAATTAGTTAATTAAAAGAGTTCACGAAAACTGAAAGGGGGTGTCAGAGAAAGAGGTACCATCCCCAGGAATAGAATTTGTCAGTTTTTTCCATAATTTTCAGAATTTAGATACTCAAGTAATATATTTAAGTCAAGTTTTTTCACTTTGTCTTTCAGCAATTAAAAACAGACAGCATATTTTTTAATTATAATTGAATTTTTCACCCTTGCCCCCAGGATAATGATGTACAAAGCTAATCTTATGCAGGCAGGGGTGCCCCGTCTCCTCGCAAAGCTCAACTACTACAATCGAAAAAGAATGGAAGCCTGCTGTAGGGAGCGTCGAGTAAATAGAAGCTGACAGGGTTCTAGAATATGACCAGGCTAAGGAAGGGTCTGGGACTTAGTCCTGCCACATGAACCCCTTTGAAGATAACATGATACTTGAATGGGTGCCAAAAGCGAAGTTGGTTCTAATCTAGAAACTTAGTTCTTCTAATTAGAAGGCAAAGAGATCTTACTTGTTTATATTTTGGACGCTAAATAAAATATGTCGTTTTCTTAAACCTCACGAGAGTACTTTGCTTAGAGAGATCAAGTAACTTGCCTATAAGTTGCAGAACTAAGATTCAGACCAAGTTTTTTCCTTCTTACACAAACGACAACCTTTCTGAAAGAAGGAAACTGGACCAACCTCTAAATAATTGATTTAAAATAATTTGTGTCTTACTAATATTGAAACTTAAGTTCTGTTTTAAGGCACAACAAGGGTGTAATTTATTGGTTCTTACATTTACACATCTAACACACTGCAAAGAAATTAGTTTACTGTAAAGGTTATAACAGCATAATCTGATTTTATTGGAATTAAGTGTGATCAAGTGTTCTAGCAATTTTTTGACTGCTAAGAATTATTTTTGTTACATAAACTTGGCTATCAAGAAATCATTTGTTAAAGCCTTCTTTGAAGGTCTACTAAATACCAGGTACCTTACTAGGTCTGGATACCTTACATGAATTACCTCTAATCTATGAGGGTAAGATTTGGCCCCAGGCCATAGTCTGCCTACCCCTGCTATAGTCTGCCTACCCCTGCCCTAATCCTTCTAAAAATTCTGCAAGATAAGTGTTACTATGCCCATTTTATGGACAAGCAGAAAGTTGGAGGAGTTAAGAAAATTGCCCAAAGTCATACAACCTAAAAGGGATAGACTTGAAATTCCTCCCTAGGTCCTGGATTCCAAATGCCTTACCATTCCTAGCTTTATTTTTTAACAAAATTTTAATTGAAGTTCTTTCTGAAAAATCATCATTTTAAAAATGTATATTAAATATGTCATTTGAAATACCTTTATTGCTTTTTTTGATAATGTGTTATGAATATAAACAAAATTTAAGTAATACAGAGAAAAGCCCCTTCAAAGATGTTGCTCTTCCAGAGATAACCACTTTATTGAAAAATTATATTTCCAGTTATAGTTTCCCAATTTAACAGGCTACGCTTCTTAATTTAATGCATTTCTTTTTCCGGTACATGGACACATACATACTATTCTGTAAGCTGCCCTTTTGACTTAATAATATACTGTTGTTGTGTTATTTACAGTAGCCAAGACATGGAAGCAGCCCAAGTACCCACCAATAGACAAGTGGTTAAAAAAGCTGTGGTGCATATATATAGTGAAATATTACTTGGCCATAAAAAGAACAAAATCTTACCATTTGTGACAGTGTGGGTGGACCTTATTTCATGCTAAGTGAAATAAGTCAGCAGAGAAAGACAAATGCCATATTATTTTACTTACATATGGAATCTAAAGAACAGTGTAAGTGGACAAACAAAACAGAAGCAGACTCATAGATACAGAGAAAAGATAGATGGTTGCCAGAGGGGAGGGGGTTCAGGGAACTGGCTAAAGAGGTGAAGGAATTAGGAAGTTGGTAGTTAGAAAATAGTCACGGGATATAACGCATAGCATAGGGGATGTAAAGTACAGCATAGGGAGTTGCAGTGCTGTAATAACTGTGTGGTGCCGTGTGGGTACAGAAATGTTGGGGGAACATTTTGTAGAGTATATGATTCTAACCACTATGCTGTATATCTGAGTCTAATACAAAACAGTACTGAATGTAAACTGTAATTGAAAGATAAAATGAAAAAACCCATAAGCACACATTTAAAAAAACCCAAACCAGTATGCTGTTGTTAGCTTTCTCTGTTGATACATAAAGAGCTCCCTGACCTTGTTCTTTATTTGTAATTGATTTTAGAGAGAGAGGAAGGGGGGTGGAGTGAGAGAGAGAGTGAGAGAGATGTCAGTTTGCTGTCGCACTTATTTATGCACTCGTTGGTTGATTCTGGTATGTACCCTGGTGGGATGACACCATAACCAACGGAGCTGCCCAGCCAGGGCCTTACCTTATTCTTTTTAATGTTAGCCCAGTAATCGGGATGTAAGTCTTCTCTACAGAATGAGATTTAGATCTCTAATCTTTTATTATTGTAGTAAATGCATATCCTTGTTTTTGTGTGCATGTGTACATCTACATATGTGTTATGTGTTTATTCATGTATGTGTATATGTGTGTGTATTTGCCCACTTCCCAATCTTTTTTTTTTTTGTGATTTCTTTTGAAACAGAATTACTGGGTCAAAGAATAGAAACTTATTTACTTTGATTTATTAGGTTTATTAGATTGCCCTTTAGAAGGATTGTTCTAATTTATTCTCCCACCAGCAGGGTATAAAGTGCCCATTCTCCTCACCTTTTCCATCTTTGAGTATTAGTACACCATTAATTTGCCAACTTGATAGGGAAAAAACAGTATTTGTATGTTACATTAATAATTTTTTGTTATTATAAAGGCCGACAATTATCTTTCCCTATTTAGTAAGTCCCGTTGTCCCTACTCCACTCTGCTCTTACAAATCAGACTGCATTATTCAAGAGCTTATACAAATCAGGTTAAGGGAGTTCCCTTATGTTACTTGTTTGTGGAGTGTTAGGGTCTTCTTTTTCATGAAAGGATTTTGTCAATTGCCTTTTCTGTTCCTATTGTGATGATCATGTGGGGCTTTTCCTTCATTCTAATAATTGAAATAATAATATGGTATATATTACATTGATTGATTTTAATATGGTAAACCACCTTGCATTCCTAGAGTAAATCTCACTTGGCCATAGACTATGATCCTTTTAACATCATGCTGGATTTGGTTTGACCGTATTTTGTTGAGAACTTTTGCATCTGTCTAAGAGATATTAGTATTTAGTTTTCTAGTGATATATTAGTCTGGCTTTAGTGACAGGGTAATTCTGATCTCATAGAATGAGTTAGGAAGTATTCTCCCCTCTTTTATCTTTTGAAAGACTTTGAGAAGGACTAGTGTTACTTCTATAAACATTCTGGTGTTCTTTAAACATCATGAAGCCATCTGGTCTGGGATTTTCTTTGCTGGAAGTTTTTTGATTACTGCTTCAATCTCTTGTTAAAGGTCTATTCAGATTTCCTATTTCTTCTTGAGTCAGTTTTGGTGCTTTGTGTGTTCCTAGGAATTTGCACATTTCACTAGGCTATCTAATTTTTGGCATACAATTTTTCATAGCATTCACTTATAATTCTTTTTTATATCTGTAAGGTTGGTAGTTATGTCTTCACTCTCATTCCTGATTTTAGTAGTTTAAGTCTTCTCTCTCTCTCTTTAGATTGTCTAGCTAAAGACTTGTCAATCCTGTTGATCTTTTCAAAGTCAACTTTTGGTTTCATTGATTCTTCCATTGTTATCTATTTTATGTATGTCTGTTTTAATCTTATTCCTTCCTTCATTTTGTTTGCTTTAGGCTTAGTTTGTTCTGTTTTCTAGTTTCTTAAAGTGGAAAGTTAAATTATTGATTTGAGATTTTTTTAATGTAGACATTTATAACTGTAAATTTTCTTCTGAGCACTGCT